TGTTTTTTTTTTTTGGGTTGTTCTCCCGCCCTGGCGGGGGGTCGGGCTAGAAGATCTATTAGGTCCCTTCCGACCCTGAAACTATGAAACTATGAAACTGATCTATGCAATGTCTGCCCCAGACCCTTTTCTGGTTTAAGTTAAACCAGATACCCCCAGCATCCCAGCATGCTCTATGGAAAGGGTAGAACTTTCTGATCCACAGCATGGCTGGCACCTCCCCTTTGCTGCAGGCATCTGCCTGGCTTCTCCCTGCTAAGCAGGGATTATTCCCCACCTCCCCTCTGCCTTACGCAGACACCTCAGCATTAGCTAGCAGACCACATGCTGGCTATGGTCTCTGCCGTGGGAGATGACAAAGGCACACAGGATTTTCGGAGCTAATCAACAGATAGCTTAATGTCCTTCCTTGGAAAAGTTGTTTAAGAAGAGCCTGAACTATTAGAAAGAGGCTTTGTTTTCTTAATGGGTTGATAAACACTGAGTTAGGGGTGATAAACATTCCCTGCTGGGCTGCTCAGGAGGAGAGGAACCCTCCCTAATAAGAGCGTCCTGCCAGGGCCTGGCCATGTCCGCCCCCTCAGCTCAGCAGTGTCGAAGGGAAGGGATGGCTGCTCCAGCACCTCCCAGCTTCTAGCCTGAGCTACTGCAGTCATGTGCCTGAATTTTTTCAGTCTAGACGGGATGTCTGTACAGTTACAAACTGGTTTAGCCTAACCAGGTTAAACTAACCTGCAAAGATTGAAACAATTCAGGCTCAGGCTGTTTGAATGTTTGTCCCTAGCCTTGGAGGACAAGCTTCCTACCAAAAGCAAACCAGATACTGTATCTGATAAGAATCTTGTCTAAAAAGAATCCTTCTGAAAGACTCAAGATACTTGCTATAAAAAGTTTTGCAAAAAGGGGAACGGGCAAGTGAGTGGTAAAGACACACTCCAGAGTGATGTGCTAGTAACCTCTCCTCTACAGATGAGCATTCATGGATTTCGAGGTTCATTATTTTTGGGGTAACTGACTTCTATAATTATAGTTAAGAGGGAAGATAAAGTGATAGAAGTTATAGTTTAGGAGATGCTCCCTAACAGAAAACTGAGGGAGTTGGGAATTTGGAAACAGTCCCTTAGTTAGGGAGAACCTAGTTAGTTTGAAAGAGAGACTGAAGGCCTGCAGATGCACATCTACTGCTTCACAATAAAATTTGTTGCTAGTTTTTCATCATTCTGCATTTACTGAACCCTGTATATGCGTGCATTTATTGAACCCTGTGATCACTACAACTTCTCCCCACTTGCTACAGGTGTCAAGGATTTATTTTTTCACCTTAAAAAGCATTGGGTATTGGCTGCAGCCAAAGATAAGGATTTAAACTAGGATGTGGTAATGCTCCTGCTAGGACTAAAACCCTAAGGTTCCTAGTTAGAGGGTCTTGCCCCTCTGCTCAGGATCAGACTAATCTCCACATCTAGGACCAGGAACAAATTTTACCCCATGGTCAGACTGGTACAGACTGTGGGCATTTTTGCCCTTCTGCAAAGTGGGGAGTGGCCCACATCCTTGGACGTCTCAAGTGCATTTTAATAATTCTTGCAGCAGCAGGACACTGTCATTGACCCCCTGCTTCCTGTGATAGGGTAGGGTATTTTTGATGTCTTTGGGCAATATGTCAGGCAATCGTGTGACAGGATTAATTGTGCAGTTTTAGGAATAGGTTAGACAAGGACTTGTGCAGAATGGTTTGGATAAAGATGATCCTGCCTCAAGCAGGGGATTGGATTAGATGACCTCCAGAGATCCCTTTCATCCCTACTTTTCTATGATTCCTAGACCTAATTGTCGCAGAGCACTTAGGTGCCCTGCTCCTAAGAAGGAAAAACTGCTAGGGAAGGGACCCTAGCAGTGAGTGAATAAGGAGACCAGCTGTTGGTTGCCAGGGCAACCGAGTTAACAAGCAATCACACCTGCCAGAGGTCAGCTGACTGTACGGGGCAGGGCTTGGCCCTTATAAAGCCCAGGGGCTGAGGCCAGCCTGGCAGTTCCCTACCAGCAGGCAAGAGGGAAGGAGCTCTCTGTCATGGGAGAGAGGAGAAGCCTGATGCAGGAGCAGCATTTGATACGGCTGTGAGATGAAGAATCCCTGGTAGGCTTGAATGTTGTTATGGCCAAGCGGCTTCCGTTTAAGTTACAGCCAAGGGGCTTGTGTTTGTGTTGCTATTTGTGACCAGTGGTTTGGGTGAGGCAACTAGGGGTTGGAGGCCTCATAGGGGACTCACAGCAGTGTGGGGACCCCAGCACCAGTGAGGGCGCAGCATTTGGGGTGCACAGACCCCAGCCCCAGAGAGGGGCAGTTGAGAAGCCCTAGAGAAGGGGGTGGTGCTGAGAGCCCCAGTGCAGGTGTGGTGAGCCCCGGAGAAGGGGGCAGCATTGTGGTTAGCCCCAGGAAAGGGGGCAGCGCTTGAGAAAGCCCTGAGAGAGGGTGGTGTTACTGAGAAGGCCCTAGAGAAAAGAGGCAGTGAAGAGCCCCAGGAGAAGGGGGCCGCGCTTGAGAAGCCCCTGGAAAGGGGGCAGCATTGTGGAGAAGCGCCGGAGAGAAGGTGCAGAGAGAGATAGGGCCGCAGAGAGCCCAAGCACCAGAGAGAGGGTGTAGACATGGACCTAACAAGGTCTATTCCAGCTGCGAGGCTTGGGGCGTGGTAAAGGGATGGTTGGAGCCATGCCCCTAAGGCTAGGGTGCCCCTGAAGCACCCATTGTAGAGTGGGACCCACGAGGAGTCCGGAAAACCACGGGGTCCGAGTAACCAGCAAGATGTGACCGAGAGGACATAAAAGGCAGCCTCCCAAAATATATGGTGTTATCAAAGACATGGCAGGAAAGAATTTGAGGGTGCCCTTGCCCCAACTTGGCACAGGAAGGGGGCCTTGAGGAGATCACAGCCCTCCTGCAGGACCCCGCCGTGACACTAATTATAGTCACGTCTCTCTTAAAACATGAAAATTAAAATAGGACTTTTATTGGTAGCGATACTTTAAATTTCACCTGTTCTTGTTGTACAAGCATTTCAAAAGGTTCTAGTCTTTAATGCGGTCTCATGATCCTTCTGTAAAGTAAGTGATCTCACACCCCTTTTCCCCCCAAATTGAACTAAAGTAAAGAAAATAAGTGAAGTAAATTGCCAATGGATCCACAGGTCTGGGCTACAACCCAGGGGAATCACTAGACTACAGAGATTAATATAGGGTGTGACGGGGCCATCGCGGGGCCGATCTCCACGGCCCGCCCACCTGTCTCTGGGCAACCGCCCGCCTATCTCGCCCACCACGCCTTTGATGATAATCAGTTCAATTAAGATGTTAATTAAGCGGGAGGCTGCCCATTGTAATGCCCC